GGGTGTGGATGAGAAAAAGAATCTAAATAGCGACCCAACTGAAACGGTGCAAGTTAAATTCTGCAAAATGCTGCTGGGCGTCAGCAAAAAAAGCCTCAAATAGCACTTGTAGATCTGAGTTAGGTCTTTTCCCCCTCAGATCAACAGCAAAACAAAGAGCAATAAAATTTTGGATTAAATTCATGAATAGAAACGATGACACTAAATTATCGCATCAAACAATCATAGATAACCTAACAGAAATCACTAACAAATCCAGCTGGACAGAGAAAATAAAATCCCAACTAGATAATTTAGGCTTTAGCTGTGGAGAGAAAACATTTTGTTTCATTAAAATGAATTAATAACAGAACATCAAATACTAAAAATAATGAAAATAATCACGCAAAGAATAGAGGATCAAGAAATTCAAATGATTTAGTGCCATACATTCATTTAGTTCTCTACATTTATTTAGTTCTCTACATTTATATAGTTCCAATCATTGATAGATTGATTGATTGACATGCAATCTCTAACTTAATATTATCAGTATTAAGGTGTTTCGATACAGTTTCGTGATCACCAAACAGAACTTTTTCAATCGTCGCGTTGGCAATGTTCTGTTTGCTGGATCATTTTGGAACTTATACCAGTTGTTGCTCTTGGTTTGAAGTTTGTACTAATGTATATTTTATTAAAATCAAAGTCTTCAACGCACGAAAATCGAGAAAAATAGAAAATTGGAAAAAATAAAAGTGCGCGCGATCCAGATGTGCTGTAGAAAAACTGTTAACTCCTAAAAATCCCCAATTCATGAGAAACAAAATATCAAGGATTTATAGAAATTCTTATGTTAGATTTGTAGAGAATCGCACGAACATTTCATACTCTCAGTTTTGTTTATCGCTTTTGCGTACTCGGTTTAAAAAATTACTATTGAATAAAATTATTCAAAAATATCCTAAAACGTTGCTGTTGCTCTTGTTTTTAAACTGTGTGAGTTGGGTCAACTAGTTCCTTGCTGGTCTTGAGAACGAATTTTTTTTCGAAGAGCGTTTTTAAGTAAAGATTTAGCAAATCTTCGAAGTTTTGCGTTTTTCACGATTTCTCATAAACAGCTCGAACGATTGCTACAAATTCTGTTAAGCAAGTTTATTTCTTTGCTTTATTTCAATGTTAGATTGTCAGCCAAGATCATTTTGGGATGCAATCTGAGCTCACAACATGTGAGTAGAGCATTTTCCCTGTGCCTTAAGCATTTTGCCAGGGTTTTTATTGGATCTCTCCAGGTGCTTGGAGGATTTTTAGTTTTATAATGGTTCTATTCAGTGCTTCAAGGATTTGTCATCAAGCTCTAGCTGTTGTAATAGTTTTCCCAGGAAAAGTTAGAGTAAGGAATCAGGTTTATAAATGGTTTTCTCTAGTGCTTCAAGGCTACTCCTTCAAGGTCTGTTGAAATGGTTCTCTCATGTTTAAGAGAAGCTGCATGGGTTGTCCTCCAAACTCTAGCTATTATAATGGTTCTCTCATGTCTTTCGAGGGTTTTTARCAGTCAAAATTTAATAGCTACTTAATGACTGTCTTCATTGCTTCAAGAGAGGTTTAGGCTTTTTCTCCATGAAGTTTTGTTGATCTTTCAAGTTCTTTAGGGTTTTTTTATTGACCAAAGATAGCTGGCTTTCTTAATATTTGTCAACTCTAATCTCAGACATTTTAACGGCTTGTTTTCTACAGCCTGATAAGAAATTTTAGTGCCTGTTTATCATAGCCACGAGGGTTTTCCAAAATAGACGAACTGATACGGATGGTAAAAGTTGGTTTACCATTGGTACAGTTGGTGAAAGTAATTAACATGCAAAATTTGTGCATAACATCAACTTGTTTAATGTGTGTATAATAAATATTTACATGACGTGGTTATGAATGACGTCGTCATACGTAATCATTTAGAATATTAAGTAGAAAAGGACTTAGCCCTGTCTTTGTGTCTCATTACGTATGCACTACTTAGTGTTTTTTGGTATACATATAGAGTTTGAACATTGGCCAGTATAGGGAAGGAGTTTAAGGTAAAAGATTGCATAAGCGTGCTTCAAGAAATATAATGCTTAGATTAAAGTTTAAGCTTTACTTTATGTGGCCGTCTTCGTGTTTTTTCAAAATAAGTATGGTCAGTAGAATCTTTGAAAGTTGGTTGTTTGCAAATCGGAAACCGATTTATCGAACTAGTTAGCCAGAGCTATAGTTAGTTTCCATATTTAAAAGCAAAATATATTTATTTATAAGAAGTAGGCTTAACATTACGATCACTCATGTTTGAGCTTCATCACAGTTTTCCCCTTCATATAGGATTGCTCACTTGCTTTAAAAACCTCTGGTTTTTGAATAGAGGCTTTAAACTGACAGATCATTTCTGTTTGGGAATACCGTAGATTCCTTTTGCGATTCCTCTTATATTATCAAAACAAAAACGTGTATTTTATCCACTCTTCGGGCATGTTAAGGGTTTAGTTTGCAAAAGCCCAAGATAATTGACTTCTTCGATTCATGTAAACAAAATATTAACAAAATATTACATTTATGAATTCAATTGTTTTTCAATGACAAGCATTTTTTTTTGTGTGTGCATAGTTTATAATGAAAACTTTAAGTTATTTATTCATTTACTTATTTATCTATTTAAAATGCTTCCCATATTCTAATAATTATACAAGAAACAGCAGTATATCACTATTTTTTCTTTTACTATCAGTCTTAGAAAGGAGTAGTCATTGCATGCAGGGAACCTTGCATGCATGCGCTTCACAAATGCCTATTTTTTAATTTAAGTGACAGTGATACTTCACTGTTAGTACTAGGATAACTTTGCCCAGTTCAGAAGTTGATTTTTTGCTGCGTCAAATCTAATTGCCTTTGAGTCCAAGTATATGCCAA